CTACACAATGCTCAAGTCAGGACTTGAGTATGATTTCAAGCACTGGAAATACGACCCTACTGGCAAGGACTTGAGTATGATTTCTAGTGCTTTAAATCATACTCAAGTCCTGACTTGAGCATTGAGTAGAGTTCTGGAATACGACCCTAAATCTTGTTTGACGATTGCAAAAATGCCAGATCATGACTAAGACCACCTAATACCAAGACTGCAAGACCAAGGCTGATTTATACAAAAGTATTTCTGTGTTGATTTGCGCCATTACTAATTTAGGAAACAAGGTCAAACCTTGGAATAAGTTCTGATTTAGGTACTCTAGTAGCAGTAGAGCTTCTTGTGGAGGTGTTTGTTGTATAAGGGATTTTGTTTATGATACCAATTGACGGGTCGAACAAGTCGTGCGCCTGGTGGTAAGCGACACGCCTACCCATAACAGTTGCAGCGCCACTCAAAGCTTTAAAATAGCAAAGATCTGAAGGACACTGCCACTGCGCCTGTCACCCTGACACGTAAGTTGACAAGTCCCATTACTTTACTAGACCATGATTACTCAAGAGGACTGCTCATCTCCATATTACAGGGCCTACCATAACCTTTCAAAAAACAATCTTATTTCAATGTAAGCTTATAAGTAAGCTTATTATAATATTACTCATATTCATACCATGACAAACCTATCAACGAAGTAATGTATTATTGCTAAAGTGATTGAATGAACAAATGACTTACCAATATTGTCTATTCCTTACTAAAAATAGGAAAGAAATAACGCTATATGAACTGTAGCGTCCTATTGTAGTATAATGTTAAAATATTTAATAATATATACATTCGGAGAATTTTAACTGCCCAAACAAGATAAGTATGTTATTACGTTATTTCAATTATTTTTCACGCATTTTCATGAAGAAAAATAAATAAAATAAGCTGAGTCTTGATTGTCACGTCGTGTATTCGGAATTATAGTCTAGTGTCAACTGTTAGTGTCGCCAAGGAGCATATAGATGTCACTGTCAAAATTTTACGAAATAAACATCGCCTATTTTTATTTAACGAGTTTTTTTTCCAATGTACTATTAAATAAAAAAATAAACATAATATTGAAGAGATATATGTAAATAAATAAGTTCAACTTAACTTTTAATCTGTTTTTTAATCTGTCTTTTAATCGTGGCTTGAGATTAACAATTGTACGACGTTTTCGTCCCGTCTTGATATCATAACATAATAATAATAATAATGTACTTCATTTATATTTTCATTCAACAAGATTTATAAGTAATAATAATAATATAATAATATAATAATAATAAGTTTATTTCATCAGCAAGTTCAGAATTACAATAATTAGTTTTAGGAGTCTCCTTTTAAGCATGACAATGCCTGTGATAGGGGACTCCGCTCTTCTATAGCTATGTAATGTACTTATATAATTTCAAAACTTACACTTAGTTGTACTTTATTTATATAATGAATAGAACTATATAAACTTAAAAATTCAGGTGTTAGTTTTTTTTTTTTTTTTTTTTTATTAAATTAAAGTTAAAGTGTTATTTGTCATTTATTGTATACAATAACATTTAGATTAATATTAAGGTGTAATTTGACAGTAAATATCATGCAATCACCTAAGTGTAGATTATATGTGTTTGTGTAGTAGGAACTTCTGAGGATATTATTTTGTACATATCAAAAGTTTCTCAACTTCTTCATATCCAAGAGATTTCAACCACTTAGCTACAAGACATTTACATTCAAAAAAGTTTTGTTTGTATATATGTAATTCTCTATTGATTTTGTTATATAAATAGGCCGATCGGCTAACATACTGAATACCAGCTGCCATTGTTTTTATGATAGGGACTTGAGCCACATAATAATTCCTTCTCTTGTTTAGTAAGCTCTCGTCATAAGGTAGAGTTTTGTGCTTTTTCAGAATAATTTGCAATATATATAGTTTTCTAACCGAGAGTAAATTACTAAGAAGATAGAGAGTTTCCGTCGAGTACAGAGTCTTTTTAAAATACATTACTTTTATCAAAGCACGTTGCGCTCTCTCCACCTCCAAGAACTTTGTTTTCGTCGCGCCACCCCAAATGGGGATACAGTACACAAGAACAGACTGCACCAGGGCAACATATATATCATTAAAAAGTGTTTTTGAGGACTTTTGATCGTATGATTCCTTCTTTGGAACAATGTGTCTCAGTGTTCTAAAAATCCATATTAATTTCCTGACTCTTCCTGTTACCAGTTCAATGTGGGAATGCCAGGATAATCTCTGGTCCACCATAATACCTAAATACTTCGTGCTACTAACCTTTTCTATCTGTTGGCAATTGCAGGTTTTATTAATTATGTTATTACAGGTATGAATTTTAATATTAAAAAGATCATTTGGTTGAGTACGTCTATTCAGACTATAACATATATAATTAGTTTTTGAGGAATTCAATGTCAGGAAGTTATTTCCCAACCAGTTGCTGATCTTGGCCAACCCTTGCTCAACGCTAACTTTGATTTCATCCCAGGAATGCCCTGAGAAAACGACAGCTGTATCGTCAGCATATGAAAAAACTTGTGCGTTTCCTATTTTCATATTGCAAAGGTCGTTTATATAAACTAAGAATAGCGTTGGACCTAATACGCTTCCTTGCGGAACACCATATGTAACATCCACAGCTTCACTGGTATATTGCTCAACCTTAACCCTTTGCTTCCTACCAGAAAGATAATCTTGAAAAAGAGTTAGAGGTGTACCCCTGATACCAATTTTCTCCAATTTATGTACAAGAATTGGGACAGAGACGGTGTCAAATGCTTTCTTTAAATCTAAAAATACTGATAAACTTTTCCTTCCTCCATCAAGGTGTTCAGTTACTAAAGAAGTCAATGCAGCAACAGCATCTTCGGTTGATTTACCTTGTCTAAATCCGAATTGAGTACATGATAATATATTATAATCATTTAAATATCGTAATAGTCTAATATTTAGTACTTTTTCTAATATTTTAGATATAACCGGTAGAACTGATATCGGCCTATAGTTATTGACGTCATCTCTGTCCCCACCCTTGTGAACTGGGGTTATAATGGAGTGTTTAAGTTGAGTAGGGAAAACACCTTTTTGGAAACAAAGGTTTACTATATGGGTTATAATGGGAACTGTTTCGTTTCGTACAAACTTTAAATAACTTGTTGAAATGTTATCCCAACCTGGAGCACTATCAGATCTTAGATTCATTAGAATTGACTCAACTTCCGCAACGTCTGTATCCAGAAGCACAAAGGTGTTCACCTGTGTTGGCAATTCACGCAGAAAGTCGTTTGGTTCGCCTGAATTTCCACTTTGTATTTGTTGGGCAAGACTTTTACCGACATTAGCAAAGAAATCATTAACATAATTTAAGGAAGCGAAAGGGCTCGATCTTGTTTTTAATAATTGTAGGCTTTGATTTTTAGTTTTGTTTGTGTAGGTTAGGTTTTTTATATTTTTCCAAAGTAATTTGTTGTTATTAACTGAATTAGTAAGTAAGTCTCTTTCATATTTTCTTTTTAGTTTTTTAATAAGATTGTTACAGTAATTTCTGTATCGAGTGTACGTTATTTTTAAAATGTCATTAAATGGGTCTTTCCGGAGTTTCTTTTGTAAATAGTTTCGATTTCTTATACAACGTAAAATACCGGTAGAAATCCATGGCTTTATTATACGTTTGCTGTTTGTTATCCTTTTATTAGTAGAATTCTCCTCCATGGAATCCATAAGCTTTTGTATAAGTCGTTCAGTTACAAAACAGGGGTCGTCGCTAAACATAAGTTCAGCTAAATTATTTTCTTGTAAATATTTTAAAGCTCCCTTGAAATCAATTGTTTTTATAGTTTTATTTAAAGTTTGTTCGTTTTTAGTTTTAGTTAATGCAAGAAATGTAGTGAAATGGTCTGTTGTAGTAGACTGTAATATAGCAATAAAAGGGGATAGCTTTCTTTTATTAATTTTTAACATAAAATGATCCAAACAGTTATTGAGTCTAGTTGGATGTATATGACCGGGGAGAATACCATGAGTCGATAACATGTCTAAGTAATTTATTCGGTTATTGTGTTCATAAGATTCTTCCACGGGTTTAGGTTTTATATTTATGTTTATGTCCCCCGTGATAATAATGTTTTTTTGTGTATTTAAACTCTCCAAATATGTGTTAAGAGAGTTTAGAAAGCATTCAGCATACCTATTAGAGGGAGAACGATAGATGCATAGGACAATAGTGTTTAGTAAATCAAGCTGAATACAAGACGCTTCGGATAGTTTTATCTCTATAATTTTTGGTTGTAATGTGTTTTTTACGTAAACGGTAACTCCGTCGTTTTGGTTTAGTTGACGAGTAGTGACATATGAGTAATAATTGTCTAATTGTGGAGTTTGTTTAGAAGGATTTAGTCTGCATTCTGTAAGAACTATTATGTCTGTTTCGAAGTCAAAGGTAGATAAAGTAAGCATTAAATCGTCTAGGTTACTGTATATGCTGCGTATATTTTGAGAAATAATGGTTAGGTCATTTTTATTTACATGGATATGCTTCGAGAGTTCGGAGGCATCGCATTCAATGGTCCGCGCAATTTCAATATTGTCTATCTCATTCAATGTTTGTAATGTATCAGCCATTTGGATAAGTAATTCTAGGTATGAACGTAATTTCTATACTACAGCATTGCTTTTGGAATGAAACGGTTAACAGATACTTAAAAACGGCTTGTATGTATTTTAAATATATAATATGTAGGTTTAAATATATGTGATATAGTGTGTGAAGAATTGTTGTGGTTCGGTTATGCAAACGTGTGTAAATTTGTAAAAAATCTTCATTAAAAAGGATTGGGTGTGTTTTGATATACTCGTATGTAGTAGCAACATGGTTAACAACTATTTCTAAAGTAAACTGGTATTGTGACAGTATAAAAGTAGCTATTAAAACAATAAAGAAAACTATCTTTACCAATAGTCATTCTTCTAGTAGAAGTTGATGCACTTGTTCCTCACTTTTAATCGAAATAATCGATGTATTTTCGTTTTTCCGTACATAAATTTTTCCGTATGCAGTCCAGCAAAATTTGTAGGCCTTAGATTTTGAAAGATCTCGAGCCAGGAAGTATAGACGAGATCCCTTTACAGTTAGATGTTCGGATAAGAACACAGGGGTATCTTCCTGTGTTTTAATTCCCAGATGTTTAGCGCACAGTTTAGCCTTGTGTCTTTTATTAAACGATTTTCCCATCTTCAGGATATCTGTCTTAAGTAAAGTTGATCCGGTTTCAATGATAATTGGCGTATTTACTTTATCAGGTTGTTTCCCTCGCACTCTATATATGTCCCTAATATCTGATCTAGTAATTTTGCAGTCAATACTTTGAGAAAGGCATACAACCATCTCAATAAGGTCTTCTTTTGTCTCATTATTTTTCTTTGGTACATTTTTCAATTCAAAGTTTGCCTTGCGACTCAAAACCTGCATATCCTCCATTTTATTTTCTAAAATTGCGATGTAACGTCTGTCGTCCTTTGCCTGATTTTCCAAATGCTCTATTTTCTTTTTAAATTCGTCATTTTGCGCCGTTAGAAACGAAATCGATGCCTCTATGTTTTGATTCGATTGTTTAATTTCCTGTAAGGTAGTGAGAATCTCTTTCCCTTGAGTAGTCGAAAAAAGAGACATAATTTTTCTCATTTCTTCCTTCATATCAGCGAACTGCTGAATAATCGATTCGTCCATGTCCTCCTTTCTTTTGTTCCGGCGAGTTACAATGCTAGATGGCGGAATTCCTGCCTTTACTCTCTTATTTATCTCTGAATCAGACATAGATTTGTTTATTGGTGATACACACAAGTACAAAGGGTACTACACCAATAGTCAGAACAGACGTTGTTCACAAAAATTTGTTGATTACTACACAATTATAGACAATTCGATGCAAAAATTGAAAAATAGAATTTTTGTGAAAAATATGACAACTTCTACTGCCTCTCTGAGGCAGTGCGCGTAGGCAGAATTCAATGTCGGTGATACGTTGTATATTCTACGCGGCCGGCGGGGACAACGTCACTGCAGTGGCGGTGCACGCGAATGTCACGGTTGACTTAAGGACATAAAGCCGGTAGTCACTTGAACACTTCACAGATCACAGTAACTTGCACACGTCAGATGATGATTTGTTGTTTTTTATTTTTAAGGATTTTTAGGTGTTTTACGTTATGGAACTGTAAAATAACTTCACTAATTATTAAAACAAAACACAAAGATACGTTTTGAAAACTAATTCACCTTTCAAATGTAATTCTAATCAAAATACTGAATAAATTTGTTAATAGATCGAACAAAGACTTGTTAACCGTACCGGGTAATCGGGCAAAGAGAGATAAGTGCGAGTACAAAATAATACAGACCATTAATGTAAGGCGTAACAAAGTTTGGAAACTCTGACAACCTAACTAGATAAGAGCCTGTGAACTTGGAGGCGGTGTTCAGATACATCGGGATAAATAAAACATGTATAAAACAAAATAAGATAATAAAGTAAAAGACAAGACACACAGTTTTGGTGTTACACATTTTGTCATAACTATGAGGGCAGTAGCCCTATGGGAAAACGGTTGCATCTCAATACAGATGTCGGCGATTCGAATCTCGTGGCGGCATGTACTTATTACTTATGACTTTTTAATTTGCTTACATTTGTGAACGTATAGTAACAATACCCCTCAACAAAAACATCGTGGTGAAATCTCCATCTCGAAGAAGATTTACAACGCCTGGAAAATGTGTGAAGTCCTCAATAAGTTGGCATGTCCTTAAAGTAGACCCATGCCTAGCAGTGGGACGTACAATAGAATGAAAACATATAACATACAATGTTTAGTATCGAAGCTGAGGGATTCTTATTCAGCCAGTGCCAACAGTATTTTTTTTATAACAAGCGATATACGCGTACAATAAATAAAAGTACATAAAACGGTGTCGCAAAAACTTATTAACAGATTTTTTTGCACACCGCTGCTTATCATATTGTCAGTAATAAACACAAAAATGAGGGTAAAAAGATATTCGGCTCCAACCCTACGGGAAAACATTCGCCACTTGCACGATTCTTTCTTGTGGAAGTGTAATGAAGCTATTCTTTCTGTCGTTATTACTATGTGTTATTTTTCAATTCTGTCTTTTTTGAAGATGTAGTAAAATATACAGTTCTTTGCGCTAAAGTGTTACCCGCATGCAAGCAGCTAGTGATTGCAGTCGATAAATAATCTATCGACTATCGACAGAATGTTAATTACGCTTATGCAATAAATAACGGAACTTGTTTTATTTTAATCATAATCGACCCATTATTCGTCCTGCTGGGCATAGATCCATTTAAATTGACAATTTTTATAAGTTCATACATATACACATTTAGAATTAGTAGTTCTATTAGAAATAAAATGAATGAATGAAGTTCTATTAGAAATGTGAACTTTGTTTAATTCAACATAGATAATCCAATCCACCTATTCTCATTAAAATATATATGAATAAATATTTATTTCCATCCTAGATAGGCCAATTGTCAAAATAAGAATAAAGACAACGCAGTTAGTAGACATTAGAACGTAGTAACATTCACAAGTCAGATATTTTTGACAAAATTATACGTTCTTTCACAATCTACTGATAAAACTGTCAACATGACTATTTCAAATTTTATGAACACTGACAACCCTGGAAATGTAATTTTACTCCGTTTTCAAAAAATTACATGACATGACAGACTATAGTTATATTTTCTGCAGGGATAGCACGATAGAACACGACTTGAGAGAGCGCGATATAATAATATATCGCGCTTACTCTTACGCATACTATTATCTATGGGAGTATAGCAGTATCTCGCGTTTTATGTCGCTCTCGCTCAAGTCGCACCTTATCATGCTAACTCTATTGGTAACTTTATATTCTCATGTTTTCCATTGCTATTAATTTCGTAGCAATTTGCAAATGCAGCACATTGGAGATGATTTCTTAGTGAATTGTTTGGTCCAACGTTACTTCTATTGTTTCAGGTCAACTTCGGGGTCAGCCACCTTCACGCTGCCATCATGACACTGCACTGGTGGATGCACTGGTTCTGGGTGACGGCGCTGCTCACAATTCAAGGTCTGTAACACACATCTGAGAAATAATTCTTACATTCTTACACTAGCGTCACAGTAAGTTTATGAAAATGTAATTTATGGTAAGAAGAATAGTATTTTTTTTATAAAAATATTAACAGATATAACATAAACATGAGAAATGAGAATAACGTATACATATACTATAACAAGAGATGAGAAATGAAAATAAATTAGCTATTCTTGACAGTCGTTTTCACAAAGCCACAAATTCATTTAAGGGGCAATGCTTAAAGAAAATATGCTTAAATAAGGTTCCGGTTAGTATTCAAAATTTGCCATTTACCAGGTTTAAAACTATGGTGAAACAAAAACTTTATACTAAAGGTTGTTTTTATACAGCTTTATACAGTTTCTGCGTACTTGGATGACGAAAATCCGTGGTAGTGACCCATTTAGCTGTTGCAGGTAGTCTCGATCGAAGATGTTTGAAATAAATATTGTAAATGATAAATGTATTCAAATGTATATTTATAAAGAGTAACCCTTTGAGTTTCTTGCTCATTCGTCTCAGGGGAATCCGCCTTACGAATGAACAGTAGAGTTTAGGAAGTGAAACTATTTTTCCGGATTTAAATCGCATATATTTGTTTTTTCAAACAAACCGACGTTTCGGGCCCTTTACAGGTTCCATGATCACGGTTGACTGAGTTGGTACAGTCTTCAACCAGTTATTCAATATTAGACATAACTGCAAACCACCCTAAATAGGGTGGGGTAGTTTGCATCAATATCAGACATAACTGGTTGAAGACTGTACCACCTCAGTCAACCGTGACCATGGGATCTGTAAAAGGCCCGAAACGTCCGTTTGTTTGAAAAAAGAAATATACGCGATTTAAATCCAGAAAAATAGTTTCATTTCCTATGTGTAACAATCGCGAAAACCTAAGAACTCAGTAGAGTTTAATCAATATGACGAATTCAAGTGTAATTTGCTTGCCTAGAAAATAAAGAATATTTGACTTTGGCTTTGATGTAACACGATTTTTCTTTCTAGGTTATATAATTATCACCGAGTCTAACCCATTTTAGTATCATTGCTTACAGCGTGTCAACATCTGTAAAATATACGATGTTTCATGACAGCTGTCACGCGAAATCGTTAATATACACCCCACCGCAATATCCATGGGAACTGTCAAAAAATCAAATGAAATTACACCGTGTAACACGATTTTTGTTTCTGATTTATCAACCCCAAACGAATACTTAAATTATAAAACTTGCCACGGAAATTATGTTGCCACGGGAATAACCGTTTTATTCACCTTGACTTCCGCAAAGTAACGCCGGAATCCATTAATTACTAGAAACGAAATTTGCGTACCATTAAGAGAACACACAAATATCCTCTTTATTTTAAGACATAAAGGGAACATTATATTTCAAACCAATAGTATATACCACTATGACAGCAACAAGAACACTCTTTTCAACGTACGTGCTGCTTAATTAAACAGAAACCAATACTGTCAAACCAGAAACTTTTTGAAAATTTGTTATTGTAATGTACTCCGAGAAAAAATCAAGAAATCAATAATTTCAAATAAGCTACTTCAAACGAAGTTGTCTGGCTTATTAATTTTTTTAAGATAATACCTCGGTGGCAAAGTTTTAATTAGCTCTCACATTAAAGTAAACTCTGGTTTACGAAATGCTGTAAAAGTTAAACACGACGTCTTGTTTCCTTACAACTCTCAAGAGATAACCTCTTAATTAAGTAAACTTTCGTTGTACGGTTTGCGTTCATTACCCGTACGAATATTTTAAATAACGCGGTTACTATAAAGCCAGTATTATTATTATCATCATCATCATGAAACCACGTCCCACTGTTGGACTCGGGTCACTGCTAAAGAGAGTAACGCCGTACAAAGTACCAGCGCACTATGTATGTGTGCGCGACGGTGTATGGACGCACGCGATCCATTCATATAGCGGATTTCGAAAGCGTGTTTACGCACTACATCCGTATTTGTTCCGAATTGGAGACTATACAAATGTAGAAAACTTGGACCCAATTCGAATGTCGCTTGTACAGTAAGGGTCGTATTCTAGAACTCTACTCAATACTCAAATCAGAATTGCACTGGAAACACAAGCACTGGAAATACGACCCTAATGGCAGGGACTTGAGTATGATTTCGAGTGCTTTAAACCATATTCAAATCCTGGTTTGAGCATTGAGTAGAGTTCTGGAATACGATTCTCAGTCCTATTCGAATCCGAGAATATACGAATATCGCTTGTACACCTAGAGATAAACTGACACTTCGGACACGTGTGACATTTCGGGCCGTCATTTCTCGGATTCGGAACTGGATCTTACTCTCGATCTCCGTCGGACATCCGTCCTAAACAATTACTGTCAAATAAGTAATATTCGACAAAATTAAAAGACAATTCAGTATGAAGCTTCATTCGCATCACACGTTTTTTCATTCGGTCAAGTATTGGTTATTTGGCAGTAATTGTTTCGGACGGATGTCGGACGGAGATCGAGAGTAGACCCCCTGATATGAATCAAACGTAGAATACAATTGAATCTGAAACTTATCTTTTTATCTAGAGAATAGATGTAAGCTCAAACGACGTTATTTAAGGCACGATAACTATGTTATTATAGATTTTTTTTATAATACGGGACGAGCAAGTCGTGCGCCTGGTGGTCACCCTGAGACGTAAGTTGACAAATCCCACGTGCCTGTAATTTCACCAGCTCCCGTACTTACCCTTCGAAACCGGAACGCAGTAATGCTCACATTGCTGCTTGGCGGCGGAATTAGGTAAGGTGGCAGTAATTCCCTGGACGAACTCTTTCACAAGGAGCTTTCTCGACCGCTAGTAAAAAGTTGGACAATATTATTTTCGTTTTAGATTTCTTGTGAAGTCCTACGCCCCTTTCTTTTATGTGGCTTCCTTTCGTATAAAAAAAGAAATCAATTTTCACGTTTCGTAATGAAATTTCAAATAAAGTCAGAAGCAAATCGATTTGAGAAATACCATTAACCAGAGTGAAGCAAGCAAAAATAAATTGATTGCTTCCGCGCAGTAAAGCAGAATTTTATTATAAATCAAACTCGAAGAAGTCGTTACCTTGTAATGAGAATAATCTAAGCAATATTTTGACAACTTCCAGACAAATCGTTCAATCGGTTTTTTGGCGACTCTTTATCATTGATATTAGTGAATTTTATTAAGGTTTTACTACTTATTTCTTGTAGTATTGGAAAGTATCTCGCCTTGTGAGGTGGTTTGCTTATGATTACATTCATAAGTTATTTCGTGCATTTGATACCAATGTGTTTTCGATTTAAGACTTCATATCATGATCTTCAGCGCACGTCAATCTGTTTATACAGGGTTATTTTGTAAAATATAACAACCTCGGAAGACTATATATATCATTATAAACAGCCACTTTTGTTCTGTCTCACGGTTTTTAGGTATGTATTTCGTAGTAAGGTAGTAAGTTCAAACGTGCAAGCGTCCTCCTCGACGACCACCACCCCAAGTGCTTTCTTTTGTTACCGCGCAAAGTTAAGTTAATAATTATTAATGCATAACAAACTAGTGCTGTAATTTCACATAAAATAATTGAATATCAATTCAATAAAAATTGAAGTTTATAAGTTATATTCTTAATTATTTACAAAGGTGGATGGAGCCGTGGATGGTTTGATCTACTGCCTCTCAAGCAGACGATCGTGAGTTCGAATTCGGGCTTGCGCCTATGAGTTTTTCGAAATTTAAGTGCGAAATTTGAAATTTACTTAGAGTATTTTGGGGAAGGAAAACATCGTGAGGAAACCTGCGCACATCTGTAAAGGAATTTAATGAAGTTCCCGAAACGCATTGGTCCCGCATACATCCCGGGAACTACAACTCAAGCGAATGTGATAGCATTGTGAGAGGCCACCTGTGCCCATAATATCATAAACAACAACTTTGTTCCTTGATTTTTAATAATCGTTCTAAACGGTGATAACTCTGTGCAAAACGCGGGAGTCGTCGAAGAGGACACTTGTACATTTGGACTTACAAGCTTACTACCAAATGTCTAAAAAGTGCCAGATGATACAAAAAAAATTAAAAGTTTTATTTTTGGTACGTTAATCATATTTTCTCAAAGTTATGGTACAAAAGTTGTTGTTTATGGTGTCAATAATACAGTCCTGGGAGGTTGTTAGTATTTTACAAATAAGATATATAAAGGCTAACTATTATTTTTATTATGTATCATCGGTGTTTTGTAGAAAGGGCGAAAGCGCCATTTTGAAAAACGTTTCATGGGAGCATGTATTAGGTTTGAATGAATGTTTTAAAACATTTACGTCGTGTTTTAAAATTGAATTTCAAACAGGACGTAAATATTTTAAAAAAGTCGTTAAAAAACATACTTCCCTTAAAAGATTTTTGGCTTTTGCTTTCGCCCTTTCTTCAAAACACCGAGGACATGAAAAGACAGTAATACATGAATTATAAGAAAAAGTTCGCTTTTTAAAAACTCCATAAGATCTTACGCCTTAGGTACACAGTTACAAAAAAAAGTCAAATACTACGACTAATGTGGGGAGTCACGTATTCGCCTACATTTTTACATAATATCATGTAACTACATTTACATAATTTTTAATCTACATAATCTCTTGTTCATGTAACAAACATGAGATTATGTATCAATGAAGACAAATGTAGATATTGTTTTGTTTATCCAGTTAACAGACGCAAGTTTCTCAGGCTCCGCTAAGTATGATTTTGGTGTACCTATAAAGGAAATTATCATTGTACTTAATTGCTTTAGGTGCCCCAGGCTGAGGCCAAAACATAAAACTTTTGGTTGAGCAATGATACGGTGAAAATTATAAATTATATATGAATTTCGAGAAAATTTCTTCATTTTAATTAAATTCCTGTTACCGACGTCCTTGAGCTTACGGAAGGTTTCTCAGCTTTGTGGAAGTTTCGAGAAACATTTCT